CACTATTCATTTTGTGATAAAACCAACAGAAACTATATTAGAACCTGATAATCTTGTTTTTCTTTTATTGCATATCCAAAATTCTGAGAAATTGACATGAATACATGAGTAATGATTTTCACTGATCTCAAGTGATTTCAAGGGATTTCGTGTAATTCCAGATGATTTCACTTGATTTCAAATGATTTCACGTGATTTCATGTGATTTCAACTTGATTTCAGCTATTGAAATCAGTTTTTTCCCCCTTGATTATATGAAAGAAAAAAAAGCACTGGCTTTTACAAAATAGTTGTAATGCAAACTTAACACACAATTGTAGCACAATACTGAACTTAAACATGCGCTGCAAAAAAACTTTTGCGTTCATTTGGTGCTCGAAAATTGTATCATAATCGCAATCTTTATTCTCTACATTCAGCTTACCTATCGACTATGATCGTATTGCTACATGCGCAAGCCACCAGTAAAGAGCAAAATTTATTACAGCCCCCACGAAAAAAAAATTTGTATAAAAACGCGTTCCAACGCAAACTTTCAGAGAAAAAACGCTGCTTTTGCGTTTAAAGGCATCTTCTTTTGTCTGAGACGCATCGGTTTTCGTGGTGTGTGGGTGTGGTGTGTGTGGGTGTGGTGTGTGTGGGTGTGGTGTGTGTGGGTGTGGGTGGGTGTAGGTGTTATTAATGAACAGCTTCAGATCTACATCTATACCCACCCACACCCACACCCAACTGATGTTTTATGAAAGAAAATGGGATGCTCTTAATATCAATATGTGGGGAGGTTTCCGCAGCAAACTGAATATAATCGTGTAGAGAATGCTGCTATTGTGCGGAGTAGAATTTTCTAAGTCGTCGTCTTAATTATTGAAAGATTCCATGAAGGTTTGTTTATTCATCACTTAAATATTATACTTACGCGCTAGAATTAACACAAGACTAGATATTGAGCGAAACCTATAATTTTCTCAATTGAAATCCAGACGATACCAATTCCTTTTTCGAAGTCGACCTGCACTGACTCTATTGTTTGAAACCATTGAAATATTCAGTTGATCAGCACATCGCCCAGAGGACTTAGATGAATGTCATCAAGAGGTTTGCTTTAATTGATATTTTGTTTATAGATTGCTAAATAGTAGAGTCGCTATAGGCACGCACCACATAGACAGAACTCTGCAATGCTTATATCTTTCAGGGAAAAATTGAACGATAGACAATATTTCTATAAAAATGTTAAAATAGAAGACCAAACATACAGCAACTAATAAAACAGTTATTTTTCCTTAAGTTTGATATTGCCAATTTATTGTCTCATCCACCTGATGGCGGCTTGCCTCCTTGAGTTGAATGTCATCGAAAACCAATTTAGAAAATCTCTTACATGCGATCAGAAATAAAAGCACATGGAGAAGTAATTTGACTTTTGCTTCAGTAGTTGTTCCAGTTTTCAAAAACTGAAACTAGATACACAGAGAAGACAGCTACAATCAATGGTATGGTGGATTAACATATACTTTTGTGACTTTTTCTGTAATCAAAACTTCTTGATAGGGATATTGACCATACCAACCGCAAAAGTATGGGTGATCCATTGAAGTGATCACCGATTTTCTTCTCGACGCATTTATTCTCATATATGGTATGTTTTGATCATATCCCTACTCGGCTTTAAAACAATTAAGTCGACTGTTCCATACGATAATGATGGTTTACACTGATACTCGAATCAAATATAAAGCCATCGAAAGAGTCAACCGATTCTCAAGAACGTAACTGAGCATCAATGCCTTTCGCTTTTTAAAATCATTCCTTTTCTTCACATATACGTTCAGGCCAAAACAAACCTTAGTGATATGCAGTATCGATGCATCCATCCCTGCAAACTTCATGAATATTATACAAAAGCGAACTTCCACAACCCAGTGAAAAATATTCATACAAAAATCGTGATTATTTTCGATTATACACGAAGTACGAGATTTTTCGGCTACAAAATTGATTTTTACCAAAATAATTCGATTGAAATCGATTCAAATTATCATAATTGATTAAAATCTCAATCTAATCAAATACGATTTTGAGTAGTGTCACATATCCAAGATTTTGGAGATGCCACCACATCTCCCACGGGAGATGCCGCGTCTCCCGCTGGAGACGCGGCACCCACACTCGAAAGATGTGGTCATTCACCACTGGAGATGTAAGATCTCCTTTAGAGATGCGCATTCCCCACACCTACATTCGCATCTCTCGCGCGAGATGCGGCATCTCCCGCGAGAGACGTAGTGGCATCTCCAAAATCTTGGATATGTGACACTGCTGTGGATATGGTAGTCCATGGTAACCTTAGCATCAAGGCCCGAATAGCAAGTATAAACTGCAGAATCAAAATGCACGAAACACTTTCTAAATGCAAAATACACGCTATTTTACAAACTGTTGACAAAAGTAGTTTGTACTCAATACACTGTGTTTGCGAAATAAAAATTTTGTTTTTTATCGAAAAATCTGTTTGGATACAAACTTATCTTAATGTTAGTGGAGAATAAACTGTACAACATGACCTATTTTGAAGAATTTTACTATCGATTAATCGTTTTTTTCTAATCACATTCTTTTTTCAAGATACACAGAGAGATTGTTTCTTAATTCAATATTTTCATTATAATTCAATAATGAAAGTTTTTTATTCAGTATGTTTCAAATTAGTAAAACTTAAGTAACATTAATTGAATATGTTTCTTTGATGATTATATAGATATCCATCATAAAAAAAAGATGAAGATCACACTTTTGATTGATTTTTTGCTAAATTAGAATGTTCTTATGTACTTCTTTCATCGCAAATATGTTCTTACTGATTTCAGATTAAAGTAATAATTCTATGTATGTGTGTAGTTTTGTTTAATCTTATACATTTGTTTTATATTTCTGAACAGATGTAAAAATGAACAAGTTTATTCTTTCTGATTCTATAGCACAAACTTCAATCAGCACACTTTGCTCGCGAAAGCTTAGTGCACACGTACATTTTACTAAGTTAAACAAAGTGTACGAAAACATTTCGTTTCCGAATAAGATTCGGAACCTTTACTAGTATATATACCACTGTTATAAAGAAGGATATCATATTATCGGAAATACAAGAAGAATATGCTATTTTTTCTAAAAAATAATTTTTATGCATAATTACTAGAATCCTTCCTATCGTCATAAAAAGCACGCATCTTTCAATTTTCTACTAAAAATATTGAATATTTTCTTTGAAAAGTAATGTAGATGAACAAACTACACGGAAGTAATTGATTAATGTTAAAGATATAACTTTTTCTTTTCCAATGTTTTAATTTATACTATCTCAAATGAACAAAGATATTATTTATGAAAAAAAACTTGTTAGAGCGCAATCTCTTGAGGGATCAAAAATATGATATACGATGGATGTATTGCCACTAGTTAAATGAAAATCGTTTTGTTTTTCATTTCTTTGCAATACTTTTGTGGCTAGCCATTTATCTAATGCTTTAGAACTACAGTTTCTCTGCCACGCTCTATAATGGGAGAGGGGGCAAATTTCTGCTCCTAAGCACTTCAAGACTGCTTTCATATGGTATTTCACAAAAGAATCAATTATATTAGTTTTAAAAAAACATGATTATTATCAAATTGAACTTTTAATTTATTTATGTTCTTATAGCAACTGGACTACTGAGCTTATTGATAAACATTTTAAACCAGAACATATGTTGTCTGTCCACGTATAGAAATTCTGAATGAAAACTCCGAAGAATATCGTGTTATGAATCATAAACTACAAAAGCTTTGGTGATGGTTTGGAGGAGGGGTTCAAACGAAGTAAAAATGCTCTCAATAAATTTATTGAATTTGAATTACCAAAAATAAATTTCAAACAGTGGATTGATTTGGGACGGATGCGATTAGTTCGACATGTATTGGAACGACTTGATAGAATCAAAAAAAAATCAGTTCTGGCCACAAATTTGCTTATAATGTCAATTGATGAGTATATTAAACAACACAACATAGAGAATTGGGACAAAATTTTCTATAAAAGTATCTTTCAATCTGTCTTCGTCAAAGCAATTCACTGGCATACAGCTATTGTCACTGAAAAACGTGCAAAATTTGTCGATAGTGTTAGACGAAAATTTCATGACTCTGTTCTCGATTTCACCGAAGAATTTCGTAAACGTACATATCCAATTGAACAACTGATGTTTGAAGCATATCGCTATTCAAAACTTCAGTTAAATTCACATCCAACTGACAATAAGCTGCGCGAAAGACTAAGTATTGAATTGGAAGATATTGTTGGTCAAACATCAAATATTCTTGCAGAATATTTCTATCATCAATATATCTGTAAATTGGAAAATATTCTCAACAATATTTGCCCACAATTGAAAGATTTATATCGTACAAAGTTAACGCTAGACAAATGTATACATGAAACGCACACATTAGTTCTAAGAGTTTGTCGTCCCGTGATTATGGCAACTCTGAGATATTCACATTTAGATTTACTCGTTACACAAGATACAATTAATGAATTGATCTATATTGCACCAACTGTCGCATTCAATATAGCGAATATTCCAGATAAAAATGGTGAACGTGGAATACTTAGTAAGGAAATATTGAAGTCAGAGGAATTGTTGGCTAATAGAAGTGAGATATCAACGTCGCTTATTAAAACACTTCAAATCAAGGGGGTAAGTGCTGCACCATTGCACCAAAATATGTTCAAAGGTGCTGAGGTGCTGGGGGTTCCAAGTCTGCACTTTCCCCCTTGGTTTTCAGTGAAATATATTTTTCAATGAACATTAGTCGTTGGAAAGAGACTTACTCAATTTTTTTAATGTTCTGATTCATTGCTAATTCGATCATTTGAGCTATTTCGATAGAAAATCTATAGAAAAAAGTTGTTTCGTCATGAAAAGTGTCTTTGATTGCAAAAGACATTACATCATTCGATTCCTCAGCTAAGCATCTGTAATTTCATGTATATTTTTTTATTCGTGCGAGCGTAAATTTTCATTGAGTTTTTCTTCTTAAAAAGAGGTGGTGTTGGTGATGAAATTAGGGGGCTGATTTTAATTAAATCACACAGGCTATTTTAGATTCCTAATTTGATCAACTAATGTAAAATACATGGAGTTTCAAGAAGTGATTGAAAAATCGATGCGCAGCTCTCATTTCGCGAAGTTTTGACTTGGTTCTGTTACACATAAAAACCTATCTGTATGCAGAATATGAGAGCTTTAACTTCTTTTTGTAATGATATTTTGTTTTGATATGACGTACAATAGTCTTCTCTTTTATTTTATGAAGATAAGAGAATATATGTGAAGGTTTTCTGTTGGTTTTATTTGGAATTGGTTAAGAATGTATTAAAATGATCTCTGCTTTGATGCGTGTTATTGTATGAGCAGCATTATAGTCGACCAATTTTCAATCGTTTTGGTCGTGCAAATTTCTATTATTGAAATAAACCATTCATTTTCGTATCGACGTCATATTTTTATGTTTTTCTGTTGTCTCAATCCGATTGTTCTTGGATATGGGTGTGGGTAAAGGTGCATGTGGTTGCGAGTATCTTGTTCTCCCCAACATCCACGCCCACACTATCAAGTTAGTTCTCTTTGAATATTTATATGTGGAGATGTCTTTCTATTAATTGTTTTATCGAAAATTAATTCGAATATTGTATTTCTATGATTTAAGAATTACTATGTAGTAGATATAATATCAAGAATGCCGCCTGAAGCAGCTTCGTCAAGACAAAAACAAGTTGTTCTAAAGCAGCGACTATTGTATATCACACACTCACACTCATACCATCTCAGTTTACTCTACGCCTCAAAAAAATTCTAAAACTCAATTGTAAATTCTCTTTCTTCGCTATGAAGTTAGTATCACTTGAAAATATATATTTTGTCGAATCATCTGATGAGATCACAGAGCGAGATACAAATACATCATGGTATGTTTGACTTAGTCAAGCTCTACACTTGACGAAATCTTTACCAAATTGAAACACATTTTGTTATCTTAACTTGATGATATGTCTTGTCTTTATATGAGGCTTATTAATTTTCAACAGATTCACATACAAAAAGAGCTAGAAGAAATATCAGTAGCACTAAGTAGAAGTTAGAAATAATGAATCCATGACAAAAAAAACTTAAGGCAGCAGTAGTAATATTAACAGGTCTGTAAAAAAATGTTTAAATTGTCAGCACCTTCGTTGGCAACGACGAAATCCAATTTTCCATCATTGTCTAAATCACCAACGAGAATTGAAAATGGAAGAGATCCATAACTGATTGAAAAAAACTTGATACTTGCGAAAGAACTATTTCCATGTCCAAGCAACACACCAATATTGTTTGTGCCATAATTGGCGACTATAATGTCTAAGAAGGTGTCGTTATTGAAATCACCAACAGCAACTGCGTTTGGTTGAGAGTTTAAACCGGTGGTAAACGTTGTTTGGTTTGAAAACGAACCATTACCCCATCCAAGAAATATACCAACATTGTCACTGCCAAGATTCATGACAACAATATCAAGTATGGCGTCGTTGTTGAAATCACCGACAGCTACTGAGCATGGAGAAGCATCAGTTGCATATGTCATTTGATTTCCGAAAGAATCATTGCTATATCTGAGAAAAATACCGAGGTTGTTAGTGCCGGAATTTACAATTGCAATATCTATTTGACTGTCATTGTTAAAATCCCCGATGGCAAATGATTTAGGTCGAGATGCATTCCCAGTTTTAAGTCTCATGTAGTTTAGAATACCCTCATGGGGATATCCAAGATGCACACTAACACTCTTCTCATTCATATTAGACACGACGATGTCTAGTCGCGTGTCATTATTAAAATCGCCAACAGCTACAGACACAGGACTATGGCCAGTTGAATAAGTTATTTGATTTGCAAAAAAGCCATCGCCATATCCTAGAAAGATACTCATACTATTGTCATTCCAATTAGTGACGACAATGTCCAGTCGATTGTCGTTATTAAAATCATCAACAGCTACAGCATTTGCTCCAGACCCAGTTGAATATGTCGCTTTAATTACAAAAGACCCATTACCATATTCGAGAAACACACTTACAGAGTTGCTAGCTATATTAACGACAGCAATATCCAGATTATTGTCTTTGTTAAAATCAGCAACAGCTAATGAATATGGCCAAGCGACAGTTGGATACGTCATTTGATTTGAGAAGGTGCCATCACCATATCCAAGAAGAAGACTTATAGTATCATCACCGAAGTTAGCGATAGCGATATCTAAATACATATCGTTGTTGAAATCACCAACAGCTACAGAACGTGGTACAGAGCCAGTTGAATATTTCAAGGGTTTTTCAAAAGAACCATTCCCATATTCAATAAGTACATTTACAGTGCCGTCCTTTTGATTAACAACGACGATATCCAGTCGAATATCCTTGTTAAAATCACCAGTAGCTACAGATACTGGCCCATGACCAGTTGAATATTTCATTTGATACGCAAAAGAGCCATTACCATATCCGAGAAGAAGACTTACAGTGTCGTCACCAGAGTTAGCGACTACAATATCCAGATAATTGTCTATGTTAAAGTCGCCAACAGCTACAGACCATGGTGAAGAGCCAGTCGAGTATCTTGTTTCATTTGCAAAAGAGCCATTTCCATAACCGAAAAATACACTTACTGTGCTGTCCCCTTGATTAGCAACGACTACATCCAGATAGTTATCGTTATTAAGATCAGCAGCAGCTAGAGATCTGGGCCCTACACTAGTTGAATATTTACTATGATTACCAAAGGATCCGATGTTGTACGTGACAAGCACATCTATATAATCGATGCTATCATATGGGACAAGGATTTCTGAGTGTCCATCTTTGTTAAAACTACCAGCACCAATCATCAATGGAGCGTAATCGAAATCTGCACTGAAGCTTGCTTGATTTTCAAATGTTCCATTCCCACTTCCCAGAAACGTAACAAGACTTTTAGTATCATAATTCACCACGGCAATATCTACATGACCATCTTTATTGAAATCATGGATA